CCGCCCGCGCCGCGCCGAGCGCTCGTTAAAAGGGGAGGGGACACATCGGCGATACTGGGAACCTCGCTGACGTGAGTTTCACGGAAGAGGGTGTCGCAGTGACCGTTGCTGAAAAACTTTACATAAAATCAATGTTCATTTTGATACAAGCGTGCGATCCCACAAAACAGCGAATTACCAAAAATAAAAATCCGAGAAAAAAAGCTTACGCCAGGGCGCTTCGCGCGGAACTGTAAGAACGGTGATCAGAATGGCGTGGCTTGGCGTGGGCGCTTCAGATAGTATCCCACTTGCTGCGTTTTCTTGAAAAGTAGAATGTGGAGCGAGTACGTGCTCTAGAAGCAAGCGTCCATGGACTTGCTTATTTGTAGCAGTGAATCGCTAAAAGAATTTCCGACTAAGCCCGTAAAATGTTTGGCGAGCAAAGCAAACGAACCTCGTAACCTTGTTTTTTAGCCAGCCGCCTACCTGTCCCACAAACACGTTGTTCCAGTAGCCCAGAAGGCGAAACGTTGTGGGCAATATTTAACTACAACCAAAACGAAATATGGCTTCAATATTTGAAATATTTATATGTTGAATTTCAAATGGCATTAAACTTTGGAGAAGTTGTATGAATGAAATTCACTCTTGATAACAATTCTTCCTAAATTAATGCGATGTTGTTCGTCAAAAACGCGCCAACACAGTCCCGTTCAATTTGATATAAAACATTATTGCTTTATCAATATAGTATTTTAATTAGAACTTAGATATTTCAATAAGAACTATGGGTTTGCGTTATGATTAGGATTTTTTCTCTCGTAAACACATGCTATACTTAACGCTTTATTATTCATGTAGGCCTATTAGAAATCACGGTAGTGTGGTACGAAACATGTGTACTAAACGTTTACACGAACTAAACGTTTTAAAGCAAGTAGTCCTTAACAGCGGACTCTTTCTCTACTAGTTAGAAATTGGAGTAACAGGTGAGACCGACGCATTGCATCTCATTTGCGTGAAGAGACGCCAGCAGGCGGAAGCGATCTGGGCGCTCAAACGACCAATGAGTGCGGACAATCGTTGGTTATCTGAACGTGTTTCGCACTTGGTCATGGAATGCCTGATACCTCCCTCATAAAGAGCGGAGTTCCGCGAAGTCTTCAGTACCGAGAAATACACGACTGCAAGACCCGACATTTCCTCCGGACAAAGAGCCATCTGCCGAACATCTGCTATATATTTCAGTAGGTTTCCCGGAAAACCATATTTTGCTCGTGCGGTACGCTGAGATAGTATCTACATAAAACTTCAATCAGGTAAAAATTGAAGGCAGTTTTCTATTTAATGCAATACTGTTGCCCAGAAGAATAGGAAACAAACATGGCCACCTTTTCAACGATTACAGAAGATACTAGATTGAAAGAAAAGCTCTTAGTAGGAGAAACCGTTGCAAACATTTTTAGAACTTGTGCTCTTACATATTAAATTTAATGTTACGGAATGTTTAAAACATCGAAGCTCAGAGGAAAGGGGCTGATAAGCAATTCGAACAATTCGCATTATGAAAACTAGGGATTAGAAAAATTTGGAACATTCCAACGAATGTTTTTTGTTCCTAACATTATCAGTATTTTCGTAACGCAATTTTGACTATCTCGCAACGGCTTACGCAGTGTAAAGTTATGTACTTCTGCGAGGGGAAAACTGCGAATTTTCGATACAAAAACTTTAATTGTCGGGCTCTGGTAACGAAAAAGTGGATAATTCCAGTTGGTAAAAGTTACAGAAAAAATCCACTAATACATGGTGCAGGCAGAATTCATGCTTTATGGGTCCTCGCAAACGCCAGCGACCAACAACTCGTTCCGAAGGGGGGCACTGCCTGCGCCCGCATGGCCTGCGGCGCGGCCGGCCGGCCGGCCACCGGCGGGGCGTTATCGGCGGCGCAAATTATCAGGCGCGCTCTATCTCACAGCTGGCGGCTCCCCCCCCCCCCGGGGGCCCCGCACGGGAGAGCGCGACTGTCCTCCATCCGCACCGACAAGTGCGCTACGTTATACTGTACACGCGACTTGTAGTACCACGAGAGGGCGTAAATACCAAATTGCTAAGTACAGCACGTAATAAAATGTTTGCTTTGCCATTATCATCAAAATGAATTCAAACGATCAGCACAACGCTTAATACATTTACGAAATCATTGTCTGAATTGATTTCAAACACTTCAGCATTTTCTTTGACATCCGCTACTAGAATAACCGTTTGGAGCTCATATGAAGACTACTGACCGCCTGTGGACCACGGAAACGTCTTCTCTATCACATATGACAAAAATACTTTTTTTCTATTTAATTCGTGTTTCCTAAGTCAAACATTTCTTAAAGCGATGGATTCCTCCCCAGGACGACGTTGGCGCAAGCGAGAGCCAACAACTCGGAGCACGACGGAGCTTTAGAAAAACATTAGACAGGATTGCATTCTATAGGTTAGGTTAGGTTCCTTGCACTCGCTTTTTAATTCAGGAAGACCAAATTGAAATAACAGTATGGCGATTTCAAAACCTAAACGTTTCACAAACGGAATATACATGACCACAAACTCAGCTCCACAGCTGTCATATTGACACTGTTGGCGGAGGCTCGCATTATAAGAGAATTGCCCAGTAAGTCGGAGAAAGCTGCATGGCTTGCAGGGCAGCGGCGCGGCGAAGGCGCCGGGAAAGTGTGCCGGGAGGCCGGCATCGCCCGGGCTCTAGGAAG